TAGAGTTTAAGGTAGATTTTTTGAAATCATGTTCTGGGTCAGACATCTTCTAAGCCAAAGAAACTCAACTTGGTCTCCTACTGCAGTGAGGTTGCATGTTTTAAGGATCTGAGGGACCGTATCCTTTCAAATTGATAATATAAAGTGGAATATCCCTTCAAGGGAGATGAACAAATAATATATAAAAGGCAAAGTATCCTGCTTAGCATAGGTATTGGATCATTAATAATATAAAATAACTGCGTAAAAGTTTTCTAGGGTAATTGCAGCTTCTAAATTTCCAGTCATTTAAAGTGTTGAAGATTTTCCTTATTTTTAGAAGGCACTTTTACCATCACAAAATAGAAAGGAAATCTACAGTGCATTTGAATGGTTAATGCCATTATACAACTGTTCCCTATGCGGTTGCCCAGGTTGTTCATCTAACTTTAAAGCAGAACTAAATCCACATTTTTAACCATTTCCCAAAACTAGTTGCATTCAAAGTACACTTCTGGTGATAACTATCACAGATGCTTGTATGCTTCCCATGGTGTCATAGCTGATCATATGTGCAGCACCGTGAGAACTGCAGATCTAAATGGAGGCACCATCTTTGGTGCCATCTTGAGCTGTAAAGGAAAAGAGGGTTTAGTTCCGCTTTAATATAATGCAGATGTCTATCTCCATTCCACTGTGGTCACAGTCAGTGCCTTTTTATATTATTTTGATTTGCTTGAAACGCAGCTAAGTTGGCTCCCAGAGAAAATAATTTGTCATGGTTCAACATACAAATTGCATGGCTTGATGAGATAACTCCTACTCATTGTTCTTCTGTTTTCGCAGAGCTCTGGGCCGGAGTTTACCCTTCAGGAATAAGCTCTTGAAGAAACTGTCGCTGATGCAATGAGGTAAATATATTCCAATGAAGTAAAGGATCCATAACTGCTTGCCAGCATAATATTTCACTTTAGGGTTCTCAGATAAGATGGCATCAGTTATACTGTCTATCACAGGACTGAAGTCAGTGTGTGCTGTCTTCCCATATTCGAGGAAGAGGTTTTGGGTTTCACAGATATATTCCTCACCATACTCTTGGAGGAGTTCATTAGGCAAATTGGAGAGCAGTTTCTTGTGCTGATTTTCCCAATGGCTTTTGTCATCATGTGCACCTGGTGGCAAGCAAAAAAAGTCACTTAAAAGTCAACAAATATTTTAAAGGATTTGCAGTAAATAAATTAACTGGTGACCTTCAATATAATATTTTTGACATGCTACCTGCTTCATAGTCGGCTCAGAATATGATTAGAGCACGTGGATCCTGCACTCTAATGCTGGCCTGAAACTAATGATGGATTGAAACTTTGTCAATTTAGCAGGGACTGTACGGATTTTGATCCATGTGTCGCCATTCCTGTTCAACAGATATTAATTAGGAATGTTGGAAAATATTTGTTGATCAGTGGCTGCAGTCACTGATCTGTGTATTTTGACAGCGGAGAGTCCTGCTGTTAGAATACAATCTGCCAGTGGGGGAAATTCTTCCATCCATCTCATTTGTGTGGATGGAGGAATCCATTCTTTTTTTTTCTTGGCTGAACAGAAAAAAAACTAATCATCTATGACCAGCTTAAAGCTGATTTCTAGATTTTGTTGCACTTTGCATAGTTTGCTGTAAACTGGCCCATTTGAACCATAGCTCTCACTAACATGTGAGGCCTCTGGATGTGCTGTATAAACTGTATGTAGCTGCACTGTGTTCCAGGTGCGAGCCAAGACCTTCCTGTCTCATACCAAGAATACAATAAAATCTGTCTCTGATTGGCTGAGTCAGAGACGCAGGCTGATGATGTCACAGCCTCTGACTCATCCAGTCACAGGAAGCTTTGTATTCATTAATGGAATACATTGCTTTCAATAAGTGGCTGAACGCCGCTCAGACAGATTCTACTATGTTCCAGAAAGGTCTCGGCTTGCACCTGAAATACAGTGCTGTATGCTGTTTGTAGCCTCAGGTACAAACAGTTTATACAGCACATCCAGCGGCATCACATGTTAGTGAGAGACATAGTTCGTTTGTGCCAGCTTGGCCCAAACAAACTATGTAAAGTGTAACAAAAGCTGGAGTTCAGCTTTAAATGTTGCTGGAACCACCATTTGGGTGAGTTGTCTTTTCAACTCAAACTCATGACTCCACTCCAGACTTGTTCCTTTCATCCCACATGTCAACCAGGGTGCTGGCTACCACAGCCTGTTTCCACTTTTGGTGGAAAGGAAAAAATATAACCTGCACTAAAAGCTTGGCTCTTCTTTCTGTGTTTAATTTGTCAAAAAAGACTACTGTACATACATTGATGTATCAACCCAAAACCAACTTTCCTTGATGGGTTTCGCCACTGCTGACTTGCACACAAGGATAGGAAAAGTCTTTTTGTTCTTTTACAAATTAACCATAGAAAGAAAAGCTAAGTTTTGGAGTTCTACTTATATTTTTTACTGTCTTTTCAAATGAAATACATCATATACACAGTTTTATTTTATTGGTGCCATGGCTAATTGTTTTTTTTTTTTTTTTTTTTTTACACTGACAGCAATTGTACTGGAGTTCATAAAATGCTGTACATCCCAGTTGAGTCTACTGGATACATATGCTTTGTTTATACTAAAATCTAATTAAGTGGATTTTAATACAGCAAACTTTACAGTGTTTCAAAATAAGTGGAAAAATAAATCGAAATTGTACAACATTTAAATGATGCCCTCATATACAATACATGTCTGAATGAAAATATACCGGTAAGTGTTTTAGAATAACAACAAACTCATGCTACTAGAAGTTGATCAGTCATAATATTAGGGAACGCCAAATTGCAATAAAAGAATATATCAGATGATTTTACTGATAAAAGAAAAAGCTTAAGGACAGGAAATTGTCTGCTGGATAGTACAATAATGTAATGTCAATTGTGTTACTTATAATAAAAAAAAAATGTTGGTCAGAACAAACTCTGTTTTTAAAAACCAGGTCTAATTAATGAAAGCCAAATGGAAAATGGACATTTCCCCTTATCTGATATGTCTAGATCGTGTTGATCCCTTGTGGTCTACCAGACCAATTATGATGTCTGGACAGTTTGTCATTTGTTTGTTTCGGAGGTTAAACAAAACTGAAAGTTATCTAAGTACAGTAATGACCCTTGTGATCTCAAATGGGTAAAAACTCCAAAAGATGGTCATATCACAACACTGCATTCATATGTTTCTTTGCTCAACCCAACTAATAAATTGGAAGATGGATGACTGAGTAGACTCAACTAACGCAAGCACTGTGGCAGGCATTCTTAAAGTGTAAAAAATACGCGTTTTGTCATTTTTGTCTCTTTTTTTTTTTAGTTTTGGGTAGAGTAAGGAGGGGTTATCAACATGTCAGTTTTTTCACTCTCTTTGTATGTCCTAAAGGACAAAAGTGAGGAGAGATCCAAAACTAGTTAGAATGCAATGGTAATAGAATGAAAATCTTCCAAGAAAGACAACTTTAAAGAAAAATCAGATATTGACTTTGGTAAGTTGACTCTTTAAGCTGTTAATAAAGTTTTTTATTGTTTATGAGTAATCAGACCCTCAGGAGACTGTACAATGGACTAAGTTTTTTCCTGCATTTAAATATTCATTGCAGCAATTTGGAGGATATACTGTAGTTTGTTATTATATTGTCAAAAGGCAAAACAATGTTTTATATCAGCCATTACAGTTGGAACAAAGACATATGTAGCTTAGACAGGCTTCAAAAAAAAATAAAAAAAAATAAAATTCAGAAATATATGAATTGAACCGTTGTTTACTAATATTGAAAATAAAATAGTGTTTCTATTTAAGGGAAACTTACTGAGAAAATATGGAGTCTGTCTTTGTTGACTTTCTATTGGAGATGCTAGCTGCTAGAAGTCCTGACTTCACTCCAGTGTTTTAATCTGCATGCTCGTTCCAGGCCAGTTACTCAAAGTACTCAATCCATAGGTAACCAGGCAACTTGTATGTTTAGAAATCGTTCAATCTGGCAGCCTTCATATTTCTTTCAATATTTCACAAATAGTCTGTCTGATTATAATATCTATGTTTATATCATTCATGGAGCCAGTAAAAAATAGAACTGTTACTACTGTGCTGGGCCCAGAGAAAAAGAACTGAAGGCTTCTGGCATACACATACAGCTTTGTAGTGGAGTATGTGGAAGAGGTTATGCTGTGTCCCAACTATTATGTATTTCTCATTACATTATTGATGTTCTGATGTAGACTGACATCTAGTGATGGTGCTGCACCACTAAAACTTGCTATTATGTGGAACCTGCCCTTTCACTTCTTGTTTTATTCTATTTAGAATAGTCTTAGGCAACCCTCCCTGCTTTTCTCATGTTTTCTCAATTAGTTTTACTTCATTGCAGAGAGAGGACTCAGCCATGCTTACACTTCAAAAGTCTAGAAAAACATTCCTTGTAATTTGAAGTAAAATGACTCAATTTCTGTCTTAGAGAGTTAAGCTGTCTGTGGATACTGCCAAATCAGTAAGTTGCCATTTTGTCCACCGAGACTGGGTCTAAGTCCAAAGAACAAAGGTATACAGCTCAGGCAAACAATCCAGATCAATCCCCAATAGGTTCTGGCTCGCCACCCCTCACGATGCAATAGGAAGAAAGGGTCAGCCGCACACCAGAGGATAGATGAATATAGTGTGTATTTATTAATCCATAGGACACACAAAACACCAGAACATGAATACAGGACCTTAATCATAATGATGATTAAGCATGAGATCGTGTGAAACGCGTTAACAGGTCCTGTAATCATGTCCTGGTCTTTTCTGTGTCCTATGGATTAATAAATACACACTATATCCATCTATCCTCCGGTGCGCAGCTGACCCTTTCTTCCTATTGCAGACTGGGTCTAAGGAGGTAAGTCATTGCATATATTGTTACTTGAAACAGGTTATGAAATCTTTAGTTACACACCGGTTCTGTAGGATCCTGGCTGTATCACACTGACTTTAACTCCCCAAGGCATCAGCTCATGGCGAAATGTGTCCATTACTCGACATAGAGCAGCTTTGGAAGATCCATAGGCAGCCAAGAACGGGAATGAATGCTCACCTGTCAAAAAGCAGATCATGTTTTATTTAACAAACGTTATCCACTGAAGGTATACACATGGGATTCAATAAAAGTGGGGATTGCATAGATTATCCAAACAGATCCTAGTCATCATTTTTCTGTTGCAGGTTCAAGAGAACTGTCAAATGGGTTGCTCTTCCTTGTATATACTACACCTACTGCAGATTTAAATGAACACCATAAATCCGCTTCAGTTAAAGGAGCATTAAAGCCATTGTTTTTTTTTTTTCCATCATGAAATTAAAAAAAAAAAAAAAATTTAAAAATGCCTGCTTCTTCCATACAAGTGTTTGTCCTATAAAAGCATAATGAGAACAAGTAATGCTTATCAGTGTTGTTGGGCATCTCTGGCCATTTATGGGTACTGGTTATTACAGACCACATATACTTATCACTTGACACAAATTCATGAGACCAGCTGCACAGCCTGGAAACCACAACACCGTTGGTGTACAGACACAATGATTGCTCTTTTAACAAACCTTTTCATAGCTTGTAATAATCACTAGGCAGGTACTGTGACAGCTGAAAGGAACAGCTTAAAAGGGTGTGATGACACAAATGGACTCTGTGGTTTAATTATATACTTGGGAAAAAACATTTGGGAACTCTTTTTTTTCTGGATGAATGGCTCATAAAATGTGATGAGATCTGCATCTATGTCATGATAGTGAGGGTAGTCTAAGTTAACCAACAGTTTAAATTGCTTTATCTTTATTTAACAAATCATTTAAATAGTAAAAGTTGCTACAAAAATATTTTTTTTAACATCTGAGATAATAGCACCTTGAATGGAGGATAAGTAGGTTTCCAGTTACTGAATTAGTTGTTAGTTCAAGTATGGGTTTGATCTGTACTGCCATACAGGGCTGGGACAAGGGGTGGGCAGGAGGGGCAGCTGCCCTGGGCACAACAGTAAGGGGGGGGGGGCACCCAACCACACCAAGCCTTCCCCTGGGGGGGAGGTGTGGGTGGGTGGTGCCCAGGTTTTAGACTCCATCTTTGGTTATTTTAAAGGTATCAGAATGTTTGAATATTTAATTAACCACTTCCTGTCTGGCCCATGTACATAAACAAAATATATAGAAAACTTGCGCCAAAGGAATAAACAATAAATTGAAATAAATGCTGCTGTTCAAAAAATGACTGAACGTCAAAATATACTCATAAAGTGACACATTATTATTATACCATTGGCATTGTTTTCTTTTATATTTTATATCACCCTATGTGGAAATATCTGGGAAGGTGAGAAAACGTTTAAGAGTACTACAACATCTGAGGATATAACACTCTCCACCTGCAGGCTCGTCTTTTTGTCTCTTAAAGCTATATTAGCTCGAACATTCACAGTATTTGGTGAGTGTGGAACAAATGTTTTTTTCACTGAAGATGTGAGCATGCTGGAAAATTTATGAAGTTTGTGTTAGAGTTCTATATATTTTTTTTCCCACAAATTTTTGGGACATTGGACTTTAATTTGGGACTTTTGTTTGTTGGACTTTAATATATAATTTTTCACATTTTTATTATTTGTATTATTTGCTCTGTCACTTTAGGAGTATAATTTCATGTACATAAATGGCTGGACTGGAGCAGTTCAGGAGCGGGTGGCTGTTTATAAACGGCCTCCGCATTCACTGCCTGTGCACGCTCCCTGGGAGCGAGCAGCACAACGATCTGGTTCCCGCTGTGTCTGGAGGACACAGCAGAACACTGATTGCTGGATGGGACCTCTGTGTGAGGTCTTGATTCATGTGATCAGTGATTGGCCAATCAGTGATCACATGTATAGTAGTAAGCAAGATATCACTTCCTGATATCATTGCTTACTACTTGTGAAATCTGTGAATGATCACAGAGATCATATGGTACAAGACTATTTACAACAGCCATGTACCATGTGACAAGCTGTGACCAATCACGGCTCTTACAGTATTTCTCAATGGCTGCAAAAATGCAGCCAGAGAGAAGGAGAAATGATTGCTTTTACAGCCTTTATGGGTGTAAAAGCAATCAATGTAAAAAAAAAAAAAAAAATCTTCACCCCCCCACAAGTAGTACAGCATCACTATGGTGACACTGTACTGCTAGGGTGACAGTATGTAAAAAAAATTTTATATAAAACATAAAATAAAAATGTAAAAAATATTTTGAAAAATTATAATTTTTGGTTATAAAGTAATTTGGGTTATTTTATTTTTACTAAAAAGATAGCTGAATAAATTTTGGCCAAGATTTATGAACAAATATTATTTATTTGCAAAATTTTATAAGAAAACACACTTTTTTTTTTTTTCAAAATGTTTGGACTTTTCCATTTATATAGCAAAAAAATAAAAATCACAGAGGTGAATAAATACCACCAAAATAAAGTTTTCTCTGTCTCAAAAAATGCTAAAAAATTCATATGGGTACAGTGTTGCATGACCGTGCAATTGTCATTCAAAGTGTGATAGCACTGAAAGCTGAAAATTGGCCTGGACAGGAAGGGGGTAAAAGTGTCTGGACTTGAAGTGGTTAAAAGATAAAAAAAAGATTGACTTTTGATTTATAGTTTCACAGAACCTGAAGAAGTGGGGTATATTGGACCCACAAAGCACACTGTGATAAATTCAGGGCTTTCTTTCTGCCGGAACGCGGCGGTACTGCGTTCCGCCACCTTTTTCTTCTTGTCCCCGCTCACCGACTGCCTCTGCAGAGCTGACAAGCTATGCAGAGCAGCGAAAGTGACAGGTGCCGGACGCGGCTTGTTTATGTCATGCTTGCGCGTGCCCGGCACCTGTCACTGCCGCTGCTCACAGCCGGTGAGCGGGGACATGCACGCTTCACCCCCCCCCCCCCTCTACCGCCAGCGTGTAAACATCGGGGGCGCGCGGCCACCCCCATAGGAAAGGTGTATCTTAGTACACCCGGCGGTGCGCGCTGACGTCATCACGCCCTCTGCTCGTCGATCCTACCATAGCGCGGATCGTCAGCATCAGGTAAGGAGCGGCGATACAATTTTTCTCGCTTTTCTTGCTAATGTGGGGGGGGGCAGTGTTACTCGCTATTCTTACTAATGTGGGGGGGGGGGCGGTGTTAATTCCATACATTTACTTTTATAGCCCCTCCCAAATTTTACTTGCATTCCTGTTCTCTAAAGGGGTGGTCCTAGGGTTTGATGGGGGCGTGGCCAGGTTTGGGTGGGGGAGTTCCACCACCTTTCCTCTGAGAAAAAAAGCCCTGGATAAATTCCTTTATTCGCCCCTCCCAATGTTGTTGTGAATATCTGTATTATCAAGTTCAAGCAATGGAAAAAGCCAAATGTTATTGAACAATGTGGGAAAAAATAATGATATGCTGTGAAATGTATTTTTTGCACTAAATCCATACTAAAAAAAATTGCTGTGTAAGGCGAAATATACCATATGTGGAAATGCTTTTATGATTAGAATAAATGTGTGATTTTTAACAGTGTTCTATATATGTGGTATATCATTGGACACCTTTAAGGTCCCAGGTTTTGAAAGCTTTTTTATCTGTTGGAATTTGATGGGATGTTGGTGCCCTCCAAAGCAACCCTAGCAACACATTGTTTTTTTTTTTTTTTCATTTGGAAGATGCAATTTCACCCATCTATTGGGAGGTAAAGATAGTGGCTACAAGGACAGATTATACCTATGGCTCTAGTATAAGTGTTTCCTAGAAAATTCTTTCAGTTAGCATGGTAAACCTATATATAACATGTTTCAAGGATCAAGGTCAATTTACAATATTGTTGCTGTTTATTAGTATGAAGGGAATTATATTGGAATGGTACCTACCAGCTGGGCTGCCAATAGTCGCAATTCGTCCTTTAGAACTGCGTAACATGGGTAACAAAGCTTTAGTGATCTCCAGTGTCCCAAAGAAATTCACTTCCATGCAGCCTCTGTAAGTGGACATGAGTGACAGCTCAGCATCTCCAAAGTGAACACAATATCCAGCATTGTTGACCAGTGCCCAGAGCCCTAAACAGAAAGGAAAAAAGAATTACACATTAAAATATATAGAACATAACAGAGTGAGAACTAATTGTCTAGGCTCCAGGACTTCTCCATTCTGCTGTTGGTAGTAACTTAAGATGGAAAAAAAAAACATACCATACAAAGCAATAGTTCTGGGATTTGATAATCAAAAATTTTAAAGGCAAAAAAATACTGAAAAAACAAAGTTTGCGGTCTACCTCTCGTATGCAGGTCAACACAAAAAATGTGTGTGTGTGTGTATATATACAGTGAGGAACATAAGTATTTGAACACCCTGCGATTTTGCAAATTCTCCCACTTAGAAATCATGGAGGGGTCTGAAATTCACATTGTAGGTGCATTCCCACTCTGAGAGACCGAATTAAAAAACAAATTCAGGAAATCACATTGTATAATTTTTAAAGAATTTATTTGTCTTGCACTGCTGAACATAAGTATTTGAACACCTAAGAAACCGCAAGAATTCTGGCTCTCAAAGACCTGTTACTGTGCCTTTAAAAAGTCCACCTCTACCCCACTCATTAATCTAACTTAGTAGCACCTGTCTGAGCTCTTTAAAGACACCTGTCCACCCCACAGTCAGTCAGACGCCAACTACTACCATGGACAAGACCAAAGAGCTGTCAAAAGACACCAGAGACAAAATTGTGGACCTCCACAAGGCTGGAAAGGGCTACGGGGCAATTGCCAAGCAGCTTGGTGAAAATAGATCAACTGTTGGAGCAATTGTTAGAAAATGGAAGAGGCTAAAGACGACTGTCAGTCTCCCTCGGACTGGGGCTCCATGCAAGATCTCACCTCGTGGGGTATCACTGATAAGAAAAGTGAGAAATCAGCCCAGAACTACAAGGGAGGAGCTGGTCAATGACATGAAGAGAGCTGGGACCACACTTTCAAAGGTCACTGTCGGTAGAACACTACGTCTTCATGGTTTCAAATCATGCATTGCACGGAAGGTTCCCCTGCTCAAGTCATCACATGTCCAGGCCCGTCTGAAGTTTGCCAATAACCATCTGGATGATCCAGAGGAGGCATGGGAGAAAGTCATGTGGTCAGATGAGACCAAAGTAGAACTTTTTGGTCTAAACTTCACTCGTTGTGTTTGGAGGAAAAAGGATGAGTTGCATCCCAAGAACATCATCCCTACTGTGAAGCATGGGGGTGGTAACATCATGCTTTGGGGGTGCTTTTCTGCGAAGGGGACAGGACGACTGCACTGTATTCAGGAGAGGATGAATGGGGCCATTTTTGTGAGATTTTGAGCAACAACCCCCTTCCCTCAGTCAGAGCATTGATGATGGGTCGTGGCTGGGTCTTCCAACATGACAACGACGCGAAGCACACAGCCAGGATAACCAAGGAGTGGCTCCGTAAGAAGCATATCAAGGTTCTGGAGTGGCCTAGCCAGTCTCCAGACCTAAATCCAATAGAACATCTTTGGAGGGAGCTGAAACTCCGTGTTACTCAGCGACAGCCCCGAAACCTGACAGATCTAGGAGATCTGTGTGGAGGAGTGGGCCAAAATCCCTGTTGCAGTGTGTGCAAACCTGGTCAAGAACTACAGGAATGTGATTTCCTGAATTAGTTTTTTTAAATTCTGTCTCTCAGAGTGGGAATGCACCTACAATGTGAATTTCAGACCCCTCCATGATTTCTAAGTGGGAGAATTTGCAAAATCGCAGGGTGTTCAAATACTTCTGTTCTTCACTGTATGTATGTATATATATATATATGTGTATATATATATATATATATATATATATATATATATTGGCAGTGCGGTATCCTGCCATGGTCTAAAGCAAGGTTATAATCCAGGATTCTCAACTATACAGGTTGAGGGGCTCCAGGCAGTTTGCTTAATGCAGAGGAAACTGGTTTGTCAGTTTCCTCGTTGAGTCGTAAAGCCCATTTTGGAACCTGGGGCCTAGAGATTTCAAAGTGATTTGGGAGGGATGAAATCTCCAATCCTGGGTCAATGTTTAGTGAACAGCCAGCAAACTGATTGCACAGGTGTGTGCAGGCATTCTTGTAGAGGCCTAACCATGGTTCTGAGCTCCATCCCGGCAGACAGGAGGTCGTTGCCCAGGAGTCAGGAGGGTTCCACCTAGGAGAGGTGGGAGCCAGAGCAGAAAGGGGCTGCAAGCTGTATACCTGAGAGAGCCAGGAGGCTGAATATTTGTTTCATTTCTGTTGATGGTGGATACCCCTGCGTGGGAAACATATTGTATGGAACTTTCCTTTAAATAAAATTGGGCTAAAAGACCCTTAAAAAAGAAGAAAGCGGGTGACTGTATGCTGTAAAAGCTCTACCCTTTAAGCTTGTTCTCACAATATATATATATGTAACATTAAAGTAGACCTTTCCAAAGAGGAAAATGGGGGCTGTCACAACTTACTTTCATCTTAAAAATGCTTAGTTGCCTCTTGAGGGACCAGGAAGGATCAGGGATTTTTTCCCCTGCTGGAGCAAATTGGATCAAGCTTAATTAGGGTTTTTTGCTTTCCTCTAGATCAACTGTGGGGATAGGATTGTATAATTATTTTCCCTTCCCTAATGGTTGAACTAGATGGACGAGTGTCTTTGTTTTCAACTGGACTATGTAATATCTTATGATCATCCCTGAGCTTCAATATTTTCTGGGTCACTGACCAGAAACAAGTATGCAGAGCAATAGCAATCGAGATTTTTGTCAACCTGAAGTAAACCTATTGCAAAATTAAAAAGTGGAAAAAATGTTACCCCATTTATTAGTTATTCCAGGTTCTTATATAGCGCCATCAATTTACGCAGCACTTTACACACACACATATATATATATATATATATTGTACATTCACATCAGTCCCTAACCCTCAAGGGGTGGACAAGCTAAGATATTTAAAAGAGATGTTATACTTACCCATCCTGTCACCCCCACCGTCAATCTTTGCTTTCTTCAAGAACTATGGTGCTACTAATCTGACACAGGAGAGTTGAATTCCTTGTCCCCTGATGCTGTGGTTTCTTCTGCCTGGCCCCAAAGTCACTGCAGGACACAATAGTGACATAGGCAATGGCAGAACAATGGCATAGTGGCTGGTGAGGGACCAGAGATGCAATACATCTGAAAGTGTGTCACATGAAGAGGATCCTCGAGGTGCCATAGCTCATGAAGAAGCTAAGATATGTAGCATTGACAGGTAAGCATGAGATGACAGGGTTACTTAATAACTGGATAATAAGCATTTGCGCAAAGAGCAGTCAGTAATGGCAACCACTGTTTCTCCTAAAGATGTGTTTTTTTTAAGCAAATATTGATATATTTAGGTCAAAAGTCATATTTTAAAATAAATTCTAACATACTTTAACCACTTTAGTGCCGCCCCATAGCAGAAATAATGCTACAGGGCTGCAGCTGTATGCAAAATCACGTATATATACACGTGATTTTACACTTCTGGGTAGGGGGTGCGTGTGAGTTACTCGCCTGCTTTACCTGCGCTGCTTTTCGCGGCTGTCAATCACCGGGTTCCGCCCGGTGATTTCTCACCGGCGCCAGGTGATTGCCAAGTTTCTCCGACAGGGGGGACAACTGTTTGTAAACAAAGCAGTTCTCTCCCCTGTCATCTCCTGCACGCTGCTTTGCATGGCTGTAAATAGCACAGCCATGCAAAGCAGTGTGCTTACAGTGAAGCACTAACACAGCACACTTAGTAAAACGGCACATAGTTAACCCCTTTGGTCGCCCCAGATGTTAACCTCTTTCTGCCCAGTGCCACTACTATAGTGTCAGTTTTTTTTTATTAGCACTGATCACTGTATTGGTGTCACTGGGGATGTCAGTGACACCAAGTCAGTTCCCCCCAGTGTCAGAATGTCCGTCGCAGTCCCACTATAAGTCGTTGATCACCGCCATTACTAGTGAAAATAAAAAAAAAAACAGTATATATATCGCCATTTGTAAACTCTATAACGTTCACGTAAACCAATTAATTTACATGTATTGGGATTTAATTTTAGCAAAGACATGTTGCAGAATACATTTTGTCCTAAATTTGTGACAAAAATTAGATTTTTTAAAATTTTTTCTACTGGATATGTTTAATAGCAAAAAGTCAAAAATACTGTTTTTTCCTCAAAATTGTCTTTTTTTTTTTTTTTTTTTTTTTTTAATAGAGCGGAAAATAAAAGATGCACAGGCGATCAACTACCACCAAAAGAAAGCTCTATTTGTGGGGAAACAAAGGATGTAAATTTCATTTGGTTGCAGTGTTGAATGACTACACAATTGTCAGTTAAATTTATTTAGCACCGTATTACAAAAAATGGCCTGGTCAGGAAGGGGGGGTAAATCCTCTGGAGGGAAGTGGTTAAAGCCCAACTTTAAGAAACCTCAGAATCTTCTCTTGCAATGGGACTGCACCTACACTGCAAATGTTCAAATTTAATTTATGCCTAGAGAACAGAAAAGATTTACTGTCCTGATCCTCTACTACCCCAGCAGACTCTCCATCTCCATGCTCCGGGGTGGATTGTTCCTCAGCATCCTTACATCCATTGGTCTCCATCACGCCAAGGACCTTAGATCGCCAGAGTATAGGGAAAAAAGAGGCTGCGGGGAGTGATCTGACATCTTTACATTCATCAGCTTCACTAATGTCAAAGAACCTTAGACCGCCAGAACATAGGGAAAAAGAGGCTGTGGGGACTGATCTAGCAGCTCAGAGGAACCTGTAGGACTGGAGGATCGGGTAAGTTCCCTAGGCATAAGCGAGTGGTTAACCTTGCAATGCAGGTGCATCCCTACTGCAAGCGAGCATTTTAGGACTCGTTCACACCGTGGTGCAAAGATGTCAATTCTTTCTGCACGTGTTCTGCAATGGCTCAACTAGTCAATTGTTCTCTATGTGCCCTGTTCACACCACAACACTAGTATCACGTGCAGACTTTTACTGCACAGCAATGTGTATAAAACTCATTGA